AAAACGGCAAACGGGGCTCCCCACCCCGTTGGTGAGGACCTGACCCGTCCACAAACGCCGCCCTCCGCGGCAGCCCTGCCGTCTCGCCCTCCTCACTCACCGATGCCAAAGTTCTTGGGCCGCTTCTCGAACAGGGGGTTGACCACCTTCTTGGCCTCCTGCTTCTTCACGACGGCAGGGGCCGGCGCCACCTTCTTCCCCTTGGCCTTCTTCCCCTTCGGCTGCGCAGAGGAAACCCCATCAGCCTCTGCCCCCCAGCTCCCCCGGAGGCGCCGGGCTCGGCTGGCCGGACCTCTCGGGGCAGGGCCGGGCCCAGCTCAAGGGCCGAGGGAGGAGCTTTAGGGCACGGACCGCCGGGACGGCCCCGTCCACAGCGCTGCACCCCCAACGCGGGGACAGGGATCCCCTTAAGAGTCCGACCCCAGAAACAGCAAGGGCGGACTCAGAACCCCTCGCCGAAGGCCCCGCCCTGGGGCGGGCTGCGGGATGCAGCAGCTCCCAGCCCCGCATTGCGGCGCGGCGCTTGCCGGGTCCTCCTCCCCCGGCCCGGACGCCGGGGAGTCTACCCCGACCCAATGCCCTCTGTGCCAGGCTCCGCGGGGCTCTCCTCGCTCCGGGAGGTGGAGGGAACCCCGCGCGGCCGAATCCCGAGGAGGATGGCAGCGGATAGAGCCCAGGCCCGGCGCCAACATAAGGTATCATGGAAACACTCACCATCTTGGGCGACTAGAGGAGAGAGAAAGGAAAGGGAATTGTGGGAAATATGTATGCGACTTCAAAGATCGCGAGAACTGGAGCCTGCGCGGGATTTCGAATTTAAAGCGACAGCATTCCTTTCGCGGGCCCTTCGTTCGGGGGCGGTGCCTAGAGCAGGGGGTGGGTCTGTGCGAGCGGAAGGGGCGTGGAGATGGCGGCGGGACGCTCCGGGTGCTGAGAGGCGCCCGGGAGCCGGCACTTCCCGGGGGTGCTTGCTGGTCCCCAGGCCCATCCTGGCCAGGTGCCCGCCGGGCCCAAGGTGTGCGGACAAGGTGCGGGCATCGGTGTGGCGCGGCGGGGTCGCCGTGTGCCGTGCCCCAGAATGGCGCA